GGGAAAGGAGGGAACGAACCGAAACGGAAATGGAACGGAACGGAAACGGAAACGGGACCGGAAACGAAACGGGGTTGGTATCGGAATGAGGGAAGGTGGAACGATGGAGAGAGGAAAAACAAGGAACAGGGCCAGGGCCAAGTTACAGAGAGAAGGGCATGGGAGAAGAAGCAGGAAGAACCCTGCATGTTTTGACGCAGCTGTGGTAGAGTTCTTTTGCAAGTTGATGATTTTTGATTCGAAAGTTTGACCTCCTCCACCTTGCTCTGTTTTTACCGCAGTCTGACGTAAGAAGCAGTAGAAAGGAATAGACGAGGACGAGGGGGGAGGCGGGAGGGAGGAGGAGGCGGAAAAGAGGAGGAGGCGGGAGGAGGAGGCGGAAAAGAGGAGGAGGCGGGAGAGGAGGTGGAAGAGGAGGAAGGAATAGGAAGGAGGAAGGATCATAACGAGGAGGAGGAGGAGGAGGAGGAGGAGGAGGTTGGCAGTAGGGGCTTGCCTGAGGGGCAGTGGGGGCAGACTGCTTGATCTGATGGACCTGACATGGTCACTTGACAGACCTTCGATGGGCATGTCAAGATGCTCTCACCTTGGACTTCTGCAAGTTGAGCTCCTTCCCGCAGTCCAGGGACTGGCAGTCCGGCAGCCACGGAGCTGGTCGGGAGGACGGGCGAGGCTTTGAGAGGAGAGTCAGACGAGACAGGAAGAGGGTTCAATCGAAGGTTGGAAGAGGAGCACAGCAGAGGGAGGAAGGAAGAGGGAGGGAGGAGGAAGGGAGGAGGGAGGAGGAAGAACGAACAAAGCCAGGTATTGCAAGCACACGTCTGATACCATGGAAGGGACTTGAGCAAGGGACTGCGGGCGAGCTTTCATATAGTTCCCGCGGTCACGGTCCGGCCCCGTCCCCTTGAAGTTGCAGTCGTTGTCGAAGAGGCCGCAGTCATGCACAGCCCTGCGATCCTCTGTCATGCTCGTCCCACATCTCCTCCTCCCTCCGTCATGCTCGACCCCCGTCTCCTCCTCCCTCCGTCATGCTCGTCTCCTCCTCCTTCCTCACCTTGGGGATTCATGCTGCAAGAACCTCTCTTCCTCCATCTCCAGCTCGCTGTCCTTGTCCTCGCTCCAACTCCGCTCAGCTGCCGAGGTCGCAGGCTGCTGCTGCTGCTGCTGCACCTTCGCCCTTGCCCTGAAGGTCTACAGATCAGCCGGCGAGCGTCAGGCGGCACGAGCAAGACTGACGCGTGCGGAGGATGCAGGACATGGGATGGAGCTGATGCCTGTGCAGCAGCACGAGGAGAGACAGCGACATGGTCGATCGTCCTGGGGCTCGGGCGCTGGACGGGGTGAGCAAGGTGAGAGGGACGAGCAGGGAGGGCAGGGCGCTGAGTGTGATGTCCCGTTAGGCGGCTGATGCGATGAGCTTCGAAGGAGGTCCTGGCGGAATGCTGGCCGACAGTCTCAGTTGACAGATGGAAAGATGTTAACATACCTGGCGTGCTTCCCTGCCTCTACCAAAACCAGCTGCCTTCTGTTTGGAGACGCGAATGGCTCTGATCTCATTCGGGGAGAGGGAGGCAGCGAACGTCCCCGCGCACAGCAGCAGCAGCACCTTACCATGAAGCGATCAGTCTGACTGGTTCTTACCGTCGTCACGTTCTCCCTCTTGCAGTGAACAGAGTACCGCACTGGCGAGTACCCGGCAAGCTACCGACGTGTCTCGTCTTTGTTCTCCTCTCTAGTTTGATCTGTTCGACCTGACTTGCCTCATTCTACACATGAGATTGCTCCTCTCGCTATCTTCCTTGTTGTTCCCACATGCTCTCCTTCGGCATCCCCCTCGTCGTCGTCGTCGTCGTCCTCCTCCTCCTCCTCCTCCTCCTCCTCCTCCTCCTCCTCCTCCCCCGCTTACCAGCTGCGCTCTCCCCATTGTCTCTTCGCTTTCTTGAAGCCCTCGTCCCCGCTCAACCTGTAGCCCTCATCTCCACCACAGTCCGTGGCCCCGGCGGGCCCGGGCCGGGCGCCCGGGCCGGGGCGGCCCCAGGGGGGCCGGGGCTCCAGGCCTGGCCTCAGGCTGGCAGGCGCGCGGCCCCGCCGCCGGGGGCACGGGAGTCTGGGGCATGGCACTGCGGGCGGCCCGGGCGCCCCCGCGGCTGACGGCCCCGAGTACTACGATTTCAGCTCCCGGCGATCGGACTGAGTCAGCTCAGCGGCTCCCCCCGGCTTCCGACTCGGTTCAAGTAAGCTTCAGGACATCCGTCTACCACTGTCAACGGTGATTAATGGTGACTCGGACCCCGGTCGACCTCCGAAGTCGCGACCCAGTAAGTTCATTCATGCGGCAGTGCTGCCGCTCCGCCGCGGCGGGCCGCACTGGTCGGACCTCAGTGGCGTGGCCCCCCGGGCCGCATATCTACAGTACCGTACCAGGGACTCGGGCCCGGGCCGGGGGGCCGCTGACCGATTTCCGGGTACGGTACCGTACACGGCCCGTGACGGAAGTACTACATCCAGCAAACTTCGGCGGCCCGTGAGAAGGCCCACGGTCGGCCGCTGTGAAGTTCCCGGGGACAGGAAAGTTGAAAAGTCAAAAAACTTATTTAAAACTTAAAGTGACTTAGTAGCATCTACTGATCTGAATTAAAAGTCATCTCCGTCTCCTCACCCCTAGCTGGATTTTTGATCAGTTTTGACTTGCAATTTCCCTTTGTCGTTGGCAAGTTGTGTTCTTTACCTCCTCCAATTGACCCTCCTTCATTTTGAACCCTTCGTTTAGTGCCTGTTCCTCTCCCAGCGAAGATGCTTTTCAATGCGGCTCCTGCAATCATCCTTCGCCTCATCTTCCTCTCTCTACTCCTCCAGCACAAGTCGCAGCTCTGTGCCGTCTGCATGCCGCAAGATCACAGTGTCCCTGTCCTGCCCTTCTCCAAGGCACGTTCGCATGACCAACTCTTGCTTGGTCATTGGCTGGAGCACGATTCCCTCTACCTCCTGCTCCCCTTGCCCGACGTCTTCGCCATCCCCCGTAGAAGGACCAAGGTAGAACACCCGCAGACGTACTTCCTCCTCCCCGAGGTTCGCCACCGCGAATTTGATGTCCTTCCCCCTCCTCACTCGGTACTTCCGCTGCATGTCGCCAGTCTCAACAGCCTTCAGCCTCCTCTCATCCTCGTTCTCTTCCTCAACTACCACCACCTGCAGCTTCAGCCTGCTGATCCCACAGAAGTCGTGGATCTCGTCCAGCGTCAGCTGAGCCAGGTTCTTCCTCTCCAGTACAGCCCCTTCCTGTTCAGCAGGACCTTGTAATACATAGATACCCCTGGTGCGAGATCTCTTTGGAGGGGGAGCAGGAGGCTGTACCACCATGATCCTCTCCAACTTCTCGTGCTGCTCCTTGCTGAGATGCTTCTCGTCAAGGATGAACATGCGGAGGATCGCAAACTCCTCGTCGTCCTGCTGCGTCAATACGATCCCCTCGCGGATCATCTCCATTACCATCTCCTTTCTCTTCGCCCTCGCCAGTGCGTCTCCCTCACCTGCCAACCCCTCCTTGCAGCTCACCGCAAACAGCTCACCGAGCTAGTCCAAACGTCAGTATTCCTCTTCCTCCTCCTCCTCCTCCTCCTCCTCCTCCTCACCTCTGCTTTCAGCCCTTGCCTTCCCTGCTCACGTCGGGCAGCGGTGCTCGTTGCACCGGTCCTCGTATTAGCCAGGCCCCTCTCTGCAAGGGCGTCGAACCAGCTCCTCACGCTCTGCCACTTCCCCGGCTGCTTCCCCCTCCCAGCAGTGGCTCGTGACGATGCTCTCGAGCCCGGCATCCCTCACCCGCATGTTCACCTGTTTGTCCTCCTCCATCAGGTTGAGGAAGACGCTGCCGAACACGCGAGGCATGCGGAGCAGGACGACGTAACTTCCCTCATAGATCACCTCCTGCTTGATCGGCTGATTCTTGAGGCCCCACTTGCTAACGCAGAGAAAGTCGATCACGTTCTCAAAGAAATTTTTCACGGCAGCTCCGTTCTCGTAGGGTTTGCTGAAAGTCTCCTTGAACTCCTCGAAAAATTGCTTCACCTGCTCCTGCTCACCTATGTGGGAGAAGTTGTGCATCAGCCAGCGAGAGACGAAGAGCACAGCGGCAAACGCCCCCCTGCTGTGCTCGTCTGTCGGTCGGAGGCTCTCGTACCAGTTGAGAGCATCCGAGAGTTCTTGATACGACGTGCCGAACACATGGTCGTTCAAGGGGGCGGCCTCGTCCTCGTCCTGGCAGTGGTGGAAGATTTCTAAGAGGTGGTTGCCGCACATGCTGATCATGCCTGGAAGCTCCCGACCGGACTCATGGAGGTCTCGCAAGTAGTTGTGCTTGTCATCATTCAGATAGCAATGCGACACACACACAGCTTCCTTCAGAATGGTTTGCAGAAGAGAAGCCAATTCTCTTTCTTGGTGCATCCCGGTGCTACAAACACAACTCTCAATGATTGATAGGACCTTCGGCAACCTGTCCACAGGACCTGGAGAGAAAGCAAGCATGGTGACGTCGACGTTAGTTGGGGATGGAGGCATGTACTTCGTTTCTGTGCCATCGTCGTTTCCTCCAGGGATCATGATCGGGCCGATGCCTCTTGACTCTATTGGGCAGACTCGCTTCGCCTCTTCCTCGTCGGTGTCGCTGCTACTGAGATCTCGCTGTCTCTTCCTTGAGAACCGATAGCTCACATTGTCGATCTCTAAAAACCTTTTTTTCACCATCTCCTCTGCCATCCCCTGGCTCCCCATGGCTTTTGAATAAGTTAGAGTCAGTCGCTTCTTCTTCGATTCCACTTCCTCTTTTAATGGCCAATGCATGATCTTGATGGCCGATAGTTGATCATCGCTTATCTCCGGAAAGAAACTCCTCAGTTTATCTTCGTTGACGATGCACTTTTGACCAGAGTCGACTCGGCAAGCCTCGTTGATTCGATCCATGATCAGCTCTATTGACGATTCTCCTTCCACTGCAACGAAAGCACATCACCTTACACCGACTCTCCCTCCCTCCCTCCTCCTCCTCCCTCACCCGTTGAGAGCTTTGTTATCGCTTCTGCTCCTCGAAAGAATCTGTGCCACTCGTTGTCTCGGTGTTTACAAGCGCGCACAGCCACTTCCTTGGCGCCACAGATTTGGATGGGGTTGACCCATCCGCCGATGTCGTTGCTATTGGAGTGTTTGGTATGAGGGCATGTGTGGCAGAAGAGAAAATCTTTCTTGCATGGGTTGCATCTGCGCGTTGTAAAGTGCTGATTGACCTCCTCTGCCGTAATCGCGTACGTCGTGCTCTTTATCCTAGTGTTCTTCTCTCCGATATAGGTGCCTGTATTGTTCCCGACCAATATGGTGGTGCTCTCTGCGCCATCATGGTGACACAAAGCCATGCTCCTCCTCTTGGGGTTCCTGGGAAAGAGGCGCAAGGAATGTCAGATTGATTCTTTATCATCGTTCATCCCTCCACCTCCTCCTGTCCATCCCGTCTCACCCATGGCAGAGCATGATGTTTACTCTCGTCTTTATCCGCGAAAGGTGTCTCAAGACTATTCCTGCTCCTGCTCCTGCTCCTGCTCCTGCTCCTTCTCCTGCTCCTGCTCCTTCTCCTGCTCCTTCTCCTGCTCCTGCTCCTGCTCCTGCTCCTGTACCTGCACCTGTTCCTTCGTTCCTTTGGTGCCATTTCTGCATCCTCTCTTCCACCCCACCCCACCACCAAACTCTCAACATAATGTTCCACCCACCCTGTTTCAATTGATCCTAGATTTCTACGTGTACCCCTCTTTTATCATAAAAGTACCCCTATATTAGACTGGTGTAGAGTACCCTTGCACCTTATACCCCTACCGTTCCCTCAATCGCAGTCCTACCCCACCATTACCCACCCCTCCAGAAGTCCCGATACCCCTGTGTTTTCCTCTCTCACCAAAGCTCCACCTACAACCCCTCTTTGGTTCACTACCCCTAGAATGGTACCCCTACCCAATCTCATTATCACATTACCGGTTATTTTACCTTTTCACTACCCCACAAATCATAGGCTTAGTTGAGTACCCTACCCTCTTCTAGTAGAGCCCTTGGTGCTGAATATGTATGTTAGTGGTGAATGAAATGTTGTACCACTAAGAAACATGTACTTTAATAAATATATTATAATGTTCAAGTACAAAATTGCTAGAGAAAATCTTTGCTTATCTGTTACACATATGTTTAATAAGTATATTAGATCAAAATATATTTATAATACTGCGGAGAAATAATAGCACAGAATCATTTTGCGCTTACTAGTGTTTTAAAAGCTACCAGGGGGAGAGCATGTAGAGAAAATTTTAGTACGAGGGGATTGGAATTGAATCATGCTGGATTGAACATGGGAGGAAGGGAAGGGAGGGAGGAGGGAGGAGGGTGGGCGGTGAAGGCGAGCGACAATGGAGAAGAGAGAGGGGACAAGGGAGCGAATATGAGAGCGAGAGAGGAGAGAGGAGTAGCAGCAGCGGGGAGGGAGGGAGAGGCAGGAGGTTGGGAGGAGGAAAGAGAAGATTGGGGAAGGGTGGAGGAGAGTGAGGAGGAGAGGAATACCGGAAATTCAAGGACAAAGGAAAGGGTCGAAGATGTTAGGCCACGGGGTATGTAGAGGAGGTTATCGTCTGGAGAATAAGTTCTTTAGGAAGTTGAGAGCGAAACTCTGACGGCCAACATGGGCTTTCTGAGCAGGATTTTCATGGCGAAGGATTGTGAAAGGGGGAGAGAGGATGAGCACATTGCCACCAGGCAGCTCTGTGAGATAGAAATAGAAGTGAGAAGGGAAGTGCAAGAGAGGAGGGAGAAGACGAGGGGCAGGAGCGGAGGTTAAGGGGATTCTAGGAGAGTGAGAGGTACATGAAGGATGTGAGAAGTTATTGGGGAAGAGGATATGAAGGAAGGAGGTGGGCAGAGGGGACTTTGTCGACCAGCTCAATTCAACTGCAGGTTGAGGTTGGGGATGAGGAGTAAGTGAGGTCCTCGAGCCAAGGAGCGCCGTCGGAGCTGATCGCAGGTGCTCCTGGCAGCTCTGCCTCCATGGCCTCCCTTCCCCAAGCAAGACTTCTCCAGAAAGGAGTCAGCTGGAGGGTCCTTCAGTCAAGCCCTCAGCTCGGCCCTCAACTATCCGCAGAGGGAGGCAGAAGAGTCCATCGCAAGCCTCCTGTACCATGGCGACTACAACGTCCTCTGGGAGTCTCCTCAAAGGCTGCTGGGGCTGCAGCAGGACCAGACTTGGGTGGAGCCTCAGGTTGCTCCGCTCACGCGACGAGGAAGCGTGTGTCTGGATGACTTCCGGGAGTACCTGGCGAGCATGAGCGAGCTAGTCAGCAGGTTCGAGTCGATGCACCCGATGGGTATATCAGAGGGTACGGTGGGGAGCGAGGACGAGCGCGGGACAGCGAACACCTGGAGCGGCCAGCATGCTGTAGCCAAAGAGGAGCTGCAGAAGGTTCCATCGTTCTACTTCGAGAAGGACTTCCACCTGGAGCACAACGACACGTTCCAGCGGACGGGGGCAGGAGGGGACGCGGACGAGTGCGCGGCTCTACAAGAGGAGCTGAGCAACCACCTGGATGTAGTGGAGCAGAATCTGATGCGAGAGATTCAAGCGCGATCCAGCGCCTTCTACTCCGCGCTCAACACGCTGCAGGACCTCTATGCCGAGGTGGATAAGACCATGGAGACGATCTTGGAATTCCGGTAAGAGGGTGTCAAGGGACAGGAGGATAGGAAGAAGGGGGAAGGGCGAGGAATTGAGGAGAGGATAAGGAGGGAAATAGGGCTAGCTCTTGATTCTTTCTCTCCCTCTCAGGAGGACCATGCAGGCGCTAGACAAGCGGCTCGTCGGGCATGCGCTCCGTATTGCGCAGCTGCGCAGGCACAGGAAGAACGTGGAAGAACTTCACCGCAAGCTGACCATCCTCGCTGACGTCAAGCAGACGCAGCAGAATCTGCAGGTCAGGAACGGAGAGAGGCTGACAAGTACAAGGGGAGGGAGGGGAAGGAACGGGAGGAGGAAGGTTGAGCGATGGGGTGGGGAGGGATTGCGTGGAGGAGGTTGAAGGACAGGGGTCAGAGAGTATTAGAGTGGCAGATGCGGAGGGCAAGTGACGAAGTGCAGGTCCTCCTCTCCTGCTCTGACTTCGTGTCGGCTCTCGACCTCATCTGCGACGCGAAGCTCCTGATCAGCACGGAACTAGCTGGTGTGACGGCGGTGAGGGACACAAGCGCCCAGCTCGTGGAGATGGAGGTGGTTGTTCAGAACATGATGTGCTCCGAGCTGGCAGCGCTGGCGATGGGGAGGGATGGGTTGGTTGCAGACTCTAGCCAGGCCTGCGGGGAGCTGAGCGTCGTAAAGGTGTCCTCGTATGAGGAGGGAGGAGGAGGAGAGGAGGAGATGGATCCGGCTTCACTCAGCAACGTGGAGGACCGTCTGCTCGCCATCTCCCTCGCGCTTGTGAGGGTTGGGAAGCTGCAGGACGCGCTGGAAGAGTACAAGGAGGCAGCGGTGAAGGAGGTGCTGGCTGGAATCAAGGGAGTTCTCCGGAGGGAGATGCCGGCAGGGGACGACGATGAGCCGGGAGGGGGAGGGAGAGGAGGAGGGGGAGGGGGGGGAGCGGCGCAGAAGGCCCCTCTCGCGGAACGGCTGCGTGCTTTGCACCCTGACACCTTTCTCACATTGATGAAGCGCATGTACAAGGTGCTTCACCTGATTCTCAGCCGCTGCTCCAATGTCCAGGGCCTCCTGTCGGCCGTGATCCGAGCGCAGGAGGAGGACGGGAGGAGCTCCAAGATCACAGAGGGCCCAACGAGCCCGGAGGCCTGCGGGAAGCTGCTGGTGGCCTCTCAGTCCGTGCTAGACCACATCTGCGACACTGGGCACCAGCGATGCTGGCGGCTCATCGCCGTGCGGGAGCAGCAGACAATCCATGGGAACCTGGCTCAGTTCTCCTCCCTGTTCGATGCCACCGTCGAGTTCGTCTCCTCCACCGAGAGGCTCTGCGGCTCCAGCCACAAGAAGCACGTGCTGAGGGCAGGGCTGCATGCGCAGGCAAAGAGCTTCCTGGAGGTTCTGCACGAAGCCAACACCGGCAAGCTCAACACGCTGCTGGACCAGGAGCGCTGGGTGCAGGTGGACGTACCGGTGGAGATTCAGGCCATGGTGTACGCGTGCACGAGGCCAGGAGGAGGGAGCTGGAAGGACGGAATCAAGCTGGGGGTGCAGGTGAAGAGCGAGTCCGGGCCGGCGAAGCACATCAGCCTGGACTGCGACAAGTTCTTTGCGGTCGGAGTGCTCACGGCGCTGATCAAGATGATCGCCGACTACGTCTCCTGCGTCGCCCAGCTGCCGGCCCTCGGGCTCGACATAGTCCAGCGCCTGCTGGACCTGCTGAAGCTCTACAACGTCCGTTCGTGTCAACTGGTGCTGGGGGCGCGGGCGATGCAACTGGCGGGGCTGAAGACCATCACGGCGAAGCACCTCGCGCTGTCCGCCCAGTGCGTCTCGTTCCTGGCCGCCCTCCTGCCCCATCTCAAGGAGTCGCTGCTGGCAATCCTCCCCGAGAGGCAGCACGTGCTGCTGGGGGAGCTGGACAAGATCGGGAAGGACCTGACGGCGCACGAGGACGAGATCTACGTCAAGCTGGTGTCCATCATGAAGGAAAGGCTCGACTTCCACTGCAGGAATCTGATGGAGGAGGCGTGGAACGACTCGGCCAACCAGGGGGCGAGCAGCTACATGAAGGGGCTGGTGAAGGAGATGCAGGCGCTCGTTCGCGTGCTCGTCAGCACACTGGACAAGAAGGTTGTGCAGCGGATCATGAAGCAGCTGCTGCAGACGACGTCGAAGCGGCTGGTCGAGCACTTCTCGAAGCTACCCCTCTCCACCTCCGTCAGCCAGCACAGGCTGGCAGGAGACGTTGCCTTCCTCAAGAGCAACCTCAAGGCCGTTGAAGGTGTCGTTATCTTCGATGCCGACCTCGAGGCTCTGACCTCCTTCTGCGATGCCCTTCCTGCCTTCGCGTGAGATGGGGAGGGGAGGAGAGGGGGGGCAAGGGAAGGCAGAGTGGGTGAAGGGCCAGGGACACTGGGAGAGGGAGAGGGATGGTTGGAGATGGAGGAGAAGGCGACAAGGAGGATGACGATGACATGGAGGAGGAGAGGAGGAGGAGGAGGAGGAGGAGGAGGAGGGTTTTCCCTCATTCCTGTACATACAAGGAGGATGCATGGAATGAAACGGTTGGACTTCTTGCCTGCTTTTCCCGGCCCCTCACTGTCTCACTCAATCACAACACCTACTATGTTCCGTCTGGTCCTGTTCGCTACCTCATCTACCACAACAATACCTCGCAATTGCTCTATCCTCCTGCAGAGGAAACTCGCTACCTCACTCCCTCGTCATCTCCTCTTGAGATCCAATTATTCTTATTGCGCACGACCGATGGCAACTGACCATGTGAGTAGAAAGTTCAATCATGGTGTACCATCCAGCAGCGTGTACATCTCAATACTTTATGATTACTGATAATAGATAGAAGACTTACGCCAGACATTTCACTACTGACATGTGCATGAATATTATCGATGCTATGCCGAACATGAAAGGCAAAAATTCCACATGACACCTTGATACAACTGAACTACATGGAAAATTACCCGGTAGGGACACAAAGAAGCGATCTGATGATAGTTGGCTATGCTAGCTCCGAGTCATCTCGGACCTTCCGCTTCCTCGACACATTCAGCTCCCGCGCCACATACAGCGCGGCCTGCATCATGTTCTCCAGCGCTTGCAGAGTCGCGTCGTCCTCTCCTTGGTAGTTGTCGTCGAGCCACTTCTTGGCGTCCAGGACTCTCGTCCCGTTGATGATACACATCTCAACCAGAGCCTCTCGGTGCACGGACTCCTCGTTACTGTAGAACTCGGCGATCTTCTCCCGGTCGTCCGGGATGAAGCTGTTGTCCATCTCGATCGTCAGGTTCAGGTCGTTGAGCTCCGACACCACCGACTTCATGTCCGTTCCTCTTCCTGCCACCAACACCCGTCAGAGAGGGCGCTGCATTGCTCGACCTAGCGATCTCCCCAGCATGAAAGGGCATGTCCACAGGAATGGTCACACAGCAGCATTCTTACAGAGCATCCTCCTCCTTCTCCTCCTCCTCCTCCTCCTCCTGTCGACATGAAACTTACTCTGAGCAATCGTCATCAGGGAGGTGATGCCCCTCCAGAACCGATGCCACTCGTTATCCATGTGGCTCCCGCCGGCCGTGGCGATGTCGCACATCTTCGTCGCTCTTATCGGGTTGCCCCACAGGATGTTCCCTGCCCTCCCGACATGCAGCGAGAAGGGACAGCTCCTGCATCTCAGCACACTTGAGTTGCACTCGGAGCAGGAGCACATCTCAAAATGCAGCTGGAGGGTGTCCTTGCTCACTCGGTAGGTCTTGTTCCTCCTCGTTCCAGTGTAGAACCCTGGGACAATGGCCGTCATTCATCTTGATAATTCCCTGTACTTCGTTTCTCTCCTCCCCTTGCCCTCAACTCCCGTTTCCCCTATCTCCCCTCCCCTTCGTATGCCAGCTAGTCCTAGATACCCTCGATGCCTTTCTCATTCTCTTCCAGTTCAACTCACCATCCCCTCACTATAATCTTACTCACAGCTTACATCTCACCCTTCCTGCGTTTCCTTTTCTCCTCCATCTGCTCCCCTCTCTGAATTCTCCCCTCAACCCGACGCCTTCCTTCTACCCTCGAACACTCCTCCATAAATCTCTGTCTCATCTCGCATTCAACATCTTCTCACTCTCCCTTCCTCCTCCTCGTTGTATTCCTCGTTCTCTCCTCCTCCTCCTCACCTGCTGAGTTCGTCGTCAGCCATTCGCTAAACTCCATACGCCGATGACGGCATGATCCCATCGTCGGTCCACCCATCGTTCACCCGCT